GCCGTTCAGCAGTGGAACTCTCTGCCCCGGAGTGTGGTGGAGGCTCCTTCTTTGGAGGCTTTTAAAAAGAGTCTGGATGGCCATCTGTCAGGGGTGATTTGAATGCAATATTCCTGTTTCTTGGCAGAATGGGGATGGACTGGATGGCCCATGAGGTCTCTTCCAACTCTTTGATTCTATGATCTTATCCACAAGCCTTGTTTTTCAATCCAAAACCCTCTCTTAACTAAACTAAACAAACCGCAGCTCCCCAGATGTTTCTGTACCACAACTCCCATCAGCTCTAGTCATGATGGACCACGATGGCACCCTTGTGCTGCTGAATTGTTGACCTGAAGGTTGGCAGTACAAATCCACTGGACACTGTGAGTTCCCACTGTTAGCCCTAGCTCCTGCCAACCTAGCAGTTCAACAGCATGCAAATGTGAGTAGATCAATAGGTACCGCCTCGGTGGGAAAAGGCAAAAAGACACAAGCAGTCATGCCGGCCACATGACCAGGAGGTGTCTAAAGACAACGCAGACTCTTCGGCTTGGAAATGGAGAAAGAGTACCTCCCCCAGAGCTGAAGAGAAGCACCACCTCCAGAACCGGAAATGAAAGGAGAAGCCTTTGCTTTTGCTTGTGTATTTGTGTCTCATTGTGTGCCATTGTAACAAAGCATTGAATGTTTGCCTGTGTCTGTTTATATGCTGTAATCCGCTCTGAGTCCCCTTGGGGAGAAGGGTGGAATATAAACAAAGTGTTGTTGTTGTTATGTATAATGATGAGGAAGACAAGAGCTGTAGTCCAGCATCTGGAGGGAGGGCTACGTAAAATAACATGGTGGGACTCAGCCCATGGATTTGAAATGTGGTCTACACCAATAATGGTCCAGTCCGTGCCAAGTTTCCAGGAACAAAAGAAGAAGTTACAGCCTACGGACACAAATATGGAAACAATTCTCGGTACACTGGCGGAAAAAATATCATTCTCCCAGGTGTGATACCTTGAGGTGCATAAGTCTATATTGTTGGTATAAAAGGATGTTTACAAATTTCATTTGAATTTTCTAAGCAACAGAGAAAGTATAAAAACCAATAAAGAAGTACTGAAGAGCACAGTTACATCGCACGAGCCTGTGATTCATTCTGCACTGAGCACAACTTGGTACGTTCTTCAGAAAAGCATATCATTTGACTTCTCTATGTGAAATATTACAGCGTCTGTGTTGTCGAAGGCTTTCATGGCCGGAATCACAAGGTTGCTGTGAGTTTTCTGGGCTGTGTGGCCATGTTTCAACAGCATTCTCTCCTGATGTTTTGGCTGCATCTGTGGCAGGCATCCTCAGAGGTTGGTTGGAAATGAGGCGAGTAGAGTGTATATTAGGCATGTGCAATCCATGCTTCTAAATGGTTCTAAAGTACTTACAAAATTCGAGAAAACCAAAGTGCTGTTCCAGCAGTCATCAGCCATCCCCTCCCCAATGCCAGAGATACAACTTAATGGTGTAACATTAGAAAATGTTGATCATTTCCGCTACCTTGGCAGCCACCTCTCACCAAAGTCAACATCGACACCGAAATACAACACCCCCTGAGCTCTGCGAGTGCAGCATTTTTCCAAATGAAGCAGAGAGTGTTTGAGGACCGGGACATCCGTAGGGATACCAAGGTGCTTGTTTATAAAGCTATTGTCCTCCCAACCCTGCTATATGCCTGTGAAACGTGGACTGTCTACAGACGTCACATGCAACTCCTGGAACGATTCCATCAGCGCTGCCTCCGGAAAATCCTGCAAATCTCTTGGGAAGACAAGCGGACAAATGTCAGCATGCTGGAAGAAGCAAAGACCACCAGCATTGAAGCGATGGTCCTCCCATCAACTCCGCTGGACCGGCCACGTTGTCCGGATGCCCGACCACCGTCTCCCAAAGCAGTTGCTCTACTCCGAACTCAAGAACAGAAAACGGAATGTTGGTGGGCAGGAAAAGAGATTGAAAGACGGGCTCAAAGCCAACCTTAAAAACTCTGGCATAGACACTGAGAACTGGGAAGCCCTGGCCCTTGACCGCTCCAGCTGGAGGTCAGCTGTGACCAGCAGTGCTGCAGAATTTGAGGAGGCACGAATGGAGGGTGAAAGAGAGAAATGTGCCAGGCGGAAGGCGTGTCAAGCCAACCCCGACCGGGACCGCCTTCCACCTGGAAACCAATGCCGTCAAGTGATGCGGGTCAAGAATAGGGCTCCACAGCCACCTACAAACCCACAAAAATAGTCATCAAGGAAGACCATCTTACTCGTCCAACGAGGGATCGCCTAAGTAAGTAAGTAAGTAAGTAAGTAAGTACTTACAAAATTTAAATTCTGGTGGTGAAAACTAGGGGGCGCTGGTGCTTTGCTTGTACAGTGTTGCTAAAGTTCTGGTGATGAAAATTTCAGAAATCTAACAAAACTTTCAAAATTTCATTATTATTTCATTATTAACGATTTTTATGACAGAACCAATTAGGAACTGCCATTTATAATGAAATTTTGAAAGTTTTGTTAGAGTTCTGAAATTTTCACCACCAGAACCTCTGAGGATGCCAGCCACAGATGAAGGTGGAATGTCAGGAGAGAATGCTACTGGAACATGGACATACATCCCCCAAAATTCACAACAACCCATTAGTGTCTATTCATGCTTTAATCTCTGACTGAAGCTGATCTAATACTGAAGGCATTTCTGTGGCTGGCCGTAATGTGTGAGTCATCTGGTGCCGCCTGAGGACGGACTTGTGCGTGTAGCTCTTTCCACACTCCAGGCATATGTACGGTCTCTCTCCGGTGTGGTTCATTTGGTGTGTGGTGAGGTTCCGCTTCTCAATGAAGCCTTTCCCGCACTGCAGGCACTCGTAGGGCTTCTCCTCCGTGTGAACCAGCTGGTGCCTGTTGAGCTGTGAAGACCAGTAGAAGCGCTTGCCGCACTTGGGGCACTTGAAGGGCTTGTCTCCGGTGTGGAGCTTTTTGTGCTCCGTGAGGTACCTCTTCTGATTGAAGCACTTCCCGCACTCCAGGCAGGGGTATGGCTTCTCTCCCGTGTGGATGAACTGGTGCCTCTTCAAGTGGGGCCCCCAGCGGAAGCTTTTCCCACACTCCTGGCACTGGTAGGGCTTCTCCAGCGTGTGGATCACATAATGTTTTTTGAAAGCGGACTTGTAACGGAAGGAAACCCCACACTCCAGGCAATGATATGGATTCCCTCCTGCGTGATCTATTTGGTGGGCAACCACGGTGGTCTTCCCTGTCAAGTCCCCTCTTCCAATCTCCTGGCATAGGTATGGGTTTTCCCCTGAAGGCATTCCCAGGTGGTTCCACCTGAAGCTCTCCTTCCACTGTGGACACGGATGGGAGTACTCTTCCGAGTCATTTGAAACATCAACGTTCAGGTTGGAAGCCCAATGGAAGCCGTTCTGATAAATGACACACTCCCTGCTCTCTTTGACTTTATCTGTTTCATCATGGATTGATGTTTCCCAGGTGTCGGCACTGGGAGAAGCAACAAGTTGATTGCTCTTCTCTTTTGCTTCTCTTCTTTCATTCCACTCTTCCTCCTCCTCCTCCTCCTCCTCCTCCATGTATCTCTCCCTTTCCAACGGCACTCTGTATGACACCACTCCGTTCTTGCTCTTCCATCTACCAAGACCTAGAAGGAAGAGAGAAAACTGGTAAGAGGGCTGCATAGGTCAACAGCAAGCTAGACTATTAATGGTCGGGAGCTCACTCTGACCTGGGCTGGCTTCGAACTCATGACCTCTCGGTCAGTAGTGGCTTAATGCAGCTGGCTAAACTAGCTGTGCCACAGCTCGGTCCACAATATGCATGACCTGAACAGATTGGAGCACTGGACCAATAGGAATGGAAGAAGGATCAATGTCAAGTGATATATGTTGAAGCTGTTTGCAATTTATAATGCAGATTTCAAAGTGTGTGTGTATGTTTAAAATGCAGTAGCCATGTGCCGAGTGTAATGTATTCCTGTGTGGAAAGAGTTAACTGAAACATGGAGGGAACGGCATTCCTAGAGAGGTCATAAATCAATGTATAGAACAAATGGACGCAGCTTCATGCGTCGTATGCCATACGTCACTCTGGAATGCAAGAGGTGTGGACTAGTACTGATAACAGTTTGTGAATTCGCAATGTTACGATCGGATGGTAAAGAAGCAAGTTTACGATGTGCTGAGTGTTAAGTAGCTTCTAATGTATATAGCTGTAAAATAAAGTAGTTTATAGCCTAAGGTGACTGTGATTTATCTGTCCCTGCCTTGCTGTGCTGCTGATGCCACTGGCAATATATTTAGACCAGACACATTTGATGTTTAGAATGCAGTAGCTATGTGCCAAATGTAATGTATTCCTGTGTGGAAAGAGTTAACTGAACCATGGAGGGAACGGCACTCCTAGAGAGGTCATAAATCAAGTGTATATATCATATGTTCCATAGTTGATGGTGGTGGTAGACCTGCCAGCTGGTGATGGAAGGGTTAATGTAAGTCTTGGTTTTAAAGGGCTGTGCAGTTTGTAAGTAACAGTTTACAGGTAAAAGCAATTAGGGGTGGAGGTGTGCAGGAGATGGGTTGCAGCTGGGTGTTACAGGATTTAAGGAGCTAACTTTGAGACTTATCTTTGGGAGAAAAGTATCTGTTGCATTTTGGTGGTGGATCCTGCTGGTTTTTCCCCCCAGGTCTGTTGGATTTTCGATATTTTGACCTGTTTCCTGTAATCTTGGAATCCTGGAACCTTGAACCTTTGGACTGGCTTTGACTATGATATATAGACTCTTGATCCCTGGACTTTGTTTATTGAACTCTCGGCATTTGACCCTTTTGACTACGAAGTTATTTTTGCAATCAGTTTTTGTTTATTCTGTAGTTGCATACTATCTTTGTGTTTTATATTTTGGACTTTATAAACAGCCAGCAAGTAAGTGCTGTTTTAATTAAACTGTTTTCTAAAACTGGGAGTTTGATTCATCTCTACCTAAATAAGGTAAAGCCCTGCAACGTGACAGTATAGAACAAATGGATGCAGCGTCGTGCGTCGTATGCCATACGTCACTCTGGAATGCAAGAGGTGTGGACTACTACTGGTAACAGTTTGTGAGTTCGCGATGTTACGATTGAATGGTAAAGAAGCAAGTTTACGATGTGCTGAGAGTTAAGTAGCTTTTTTAATTAAACTGTTTGTTAAAACTGGGAGTTTGATTCATCTCTACCTAAATAAGGCAAAGCCCTGGCAACATGACAGTATAGAACAAATGGATGCAGCGTCGTGCGTTGTATGTCATACGTCACTCTGGAATGCAAGAGGTGTGGACTAGTACTGATAACAGTTTGTGAGTTTGCAATGTTACGATCGGACGGTAAAGAAGCAAGTTTACGATGTGCTGAGTGTTAAGTAGCTTCTAATGTATATAGTTGTAAAATAAAGTAGTTTATAGCCTAAAGTGACTGTGATTGATCTGTTCCTGCCTTGCTGTGCTGCCGATGCCACTGACAATATATTTAGGCCAGACACATTCGATGCACTTAAACTTAAAATGGGCGGCTTCAAGTCTGACAACAATACATGCAAAAAGGATCTAATGGTCTTAGTAGACTGCAAGATCCGTAGTGGGCTCATGGGCAAGACAGGGCCTTGAAGTATACAGCAAGGTTACAAAAAGATATGACAATTACTAGAACCATTTCACCAGTCAAGAGGGAGAAGATCCTTACCTAGAGAGGCCACCATCCCATAATTCTTCTCCATGACTTCTGTGTGCAAAGCCCTTTGGTCGAGATCCAGCCGGGCCCACTCCTCCTCACTGAAATGTACAGCCACGTCCTCAAAGTCCACCTGAAAGAAGATAGAAAGATAGATAAATAAATAAATAATATACTTTATTTATTTTTGGCTCTGTCTCCTAGAGGGGACTCAGAGAGTATTACAGAATACATAAATGGCAAACATTCAATGCCATTTAACAACAAAGACACACAGTACACAGACAGAGGCAAAGGCTTCCCCCTTTGCATCTCTGGCATCTGAGGCTGTGCTTGACTCCGGCCATGGGGAGGGGTCTTGTTCCATTCTCCATGCCGAGGAGTCTGTTGTCCGTTTACGCCTTCCTGATCAAATTGCCGGCATATCTGCATGGGCGCCTTTTACCTACCTGCCAAAGCAGTACCTATTGATCTAAGTACGTTATTGTTTTCGAACTGCTAGGTAGGCAGAAGCTAGGGCTGACAGCGGGAGCTCACCCCAACCCACGGCTTTGAACTGCCAACCTTCCAGTCAGCAAGATTTTCCGCAGCTGGTAGTTTAACCTGCTGTTGCATCTCAGCAGAAGTTCACCTTGCTCTAAGCCAGTGTTTCTCAACCTTCCTAATGCCACGACCCTTTAATACAGTTCCTCAAGTTGTGTTGACCCCCAACCATAAAATTATTTTCGTTGCTACTTCATAACTGTAATTTTGCTACTGTTATGAATCGTAATGTAAATATCTGACATGCAGGATGTATTTTCATTCACAAATACCCTATACGCCCAAATTTGAATAATGGTGGGGTTGGAGGGGGAAATGAGTTTGTCATTTGGGAATTGTAGATTTATAGTTCACCTACAATCAAGGAGCATTCTGAACTCCACCATCGGTGGAATTGAACCAAACATGGCACACAGAACTCCCATGACCAGCAGAAAATAATGGAAGGGTTTGGTGGGCATTGACCTTGAGTTTGGGAGTTCACCTACATCCAGAGAACACTGTGGACTCAAGCAATGAAGGATATGGACCAAACTTGGCATGAATACTCAACATGCCCAAATGTGAACACTGGTGGAGTTTGGGAAAAACAGACCTTGACATTTGGGAGTTGTAGTTGCTGGGATTTATAGTTCACCTACAATCAAAGAGCATTCTGAACCCCACCAATGGTAGAATTGAGCCACACTTTCCACATAGAATTCCCATGACCAACAGAAAATACAGTGTTTTCTGATGGTCTTTGGTGACCCCTCTGAAAGCCGGGATTTATAATTCACTTAAATCAAAGAGCATTCTGAACCCCACCAATGGTAGAATTGGGACAAACTTCCCATACAGAACCCCCATGACTGACAGAAAATACTATGTTTTCTGATGTTCTTTGGTGACCCCTGTGACGACCCCTCTGGGGGTCCTGACCCCCAGGTTGAGAAACACTGCTCTAAGAACTCTCCAAGAAGCCAAATATATTGAAAAACACAGAAATGCTGGACCACTCTCGCAACCACCATGTCAGACTACACAGAGAAGCCACTGAAATCCACAAGCATGTGGACAATTTCAACAAAAAGGAGGAAACCATGAAAATGAACAAAATCTGGCTACCAGTTTTTAAAAAAACTCTAAAATTAGAACAGCACAACAACAGGGAGGAAACAAACAAGGACATCTAATCACCTCTCCACAAAGGATTGCTCCAGGCACTGCCAGGCAATCAAATGCTAATCAAGGAGATCAGTTGAAACATTCACACCTAGCTCTAACATACAAGAGTCCTTTGTCCCACCCTGGTCATTCCACAGATATATAAACCCTTTTTCCTAGTTCCAACAGACCTCACTATCTCTGAGGATGCTTGCCATAGATGCAGGTGAAACTTCAGGAGAAAATGCCTTTAGAAGATGGCCGTATAGCCCTGGATCTAGACACTAGACTCCTATTGATGCCAACCAAAATCCCAATGGCGTTCCAAATCATCATACCTAGGTCAAAGCAGATGGAATGAGGAGGAAGCATGCAACAGAAAGCAGGGAATCCCATCATAATCTCAACCTTTTACCTGATCTGTCTGCAGAGAAGGGAAGTCCAATGCATCAAGGAGGAGAGATGGGTGGCTGCCTTGTTCTGGCATCCCTGAGCCATCTCCTGTGATGTGCATGAGGAGAAAAAACAGAAGACAATTCACTTCAATGCTTTTCCAAACTTTACTTTTGAACCAAAGATAGATAGCCAGACAGGTGCTTCTTTGAGGACCGAACATGGATGGTGTCTAGGATGTACAAGTTCTATCCCACTGAATAAAAAATGATTACTGAAGACAGAGGGACATAAACACAGACCACATTCATGGAGGGAAACTCACAAACAAAGACATCACGAGTCCTTACTCAGTGAGGTGGCTGCTCCACCGCTGGTGTCCATTGGAACCTCCTCGGCTTGAAGGACGTCGCTCTCCTGCCGCTCTTCCTGAAGCACCTTCTCCTCTTGGGCCTGGCTCAGGAGGAATCCTTCAGCCAAGGCCACAGCCTGGGAACTGGTCTCTGCCCCACATTCCCTCACCCAGCGCTCCATCTCGGCAGGAAGGACGGCCAGGAACTGCTCCAGGATCACCAGGTCCAGCATCTCCGTCTTTGTATGTTCCTCAGGCTTCAGCCACAGGCGGCACAGAGAGTGGAGGCGGCTGCAAACCTCTCGGGGACCCCGTGCCTCCTCATAGTGGAAATGCCGGAAGCGTTGGCCCTGAAGTTCTGTGCAGAAGGCCTCCTCCTTCTCCAGGGCATCCTGGCCCATTCTGCCTGGGAACCCAACACGTCTCCTGCCCCACATTTGACAGGGCTCTCTTCCCCTTTCAGGGCTGGTCTGGTGTGGCTCCTCCATCTTCAGTCTAGGATCCAACATCAACAATTTTTAACATTCTTGAGACAAAGGAGTGTGTTGTTATATAGCCCACATCCAGGTTGTTTACTCTGGAAGAAAGAAAATAATAATAATAACAACAACAACAACAAACCAGTAATAATAAAACAAACCAGTAAAGGTGGTCCCAATGGTGATCGGCAACCCAATCACTGCTGACAAAATTACCATCTGCCACCTTACATCAAACTGCTAAGACTCTTGGCACAAACCAGTAGAGGTGGTCCCAGTGGTGATCGGCACACTGGGTGCAGTGCCTAAAGACCTTGGCCTGCACTTAAACACAATCGGTGCTGACAAAATTGCCATCTGCCATCTTACATCAAACTGCAAAGACTCTGGCACAAACCAGTAGAGGTGGTCCCAGTGGTGATCGGCATACTGGGTGCAGAGCCTAAAGACCTTGGCCTGCACTTAAACACAATCAGCGCTGACAAAATTACCATCTGCCAGCTGCAGAAGGCCACCTTACTGGGATCTGCACGCATTATTCGCCAATACATCACACAGTCCTAGACACTTGGGAAGTGTCCGATGTGTGATCCAATGCAACAGCCAACAGAGTGTCTGTTGTGGACTCATCTTGTTGTGTTTCAAATAATCATAATAATAATAATAATTCACTACATCCCCGCAGTGATGTTGACCGGCGATATCTGCCTAGAAGGTCTGGTGGCAGAGGACTTTTACAAGTCAAACAAGCAATTGAAGAAGAAAAACACCTGCTTTAAGAACCTGCTTTAATTGAAGTCAGTAATCGGAAGCTTCTCAAAGCACAGCAGACAAAGAATCAGTCCAAGAAAACTGCACTACATACCAGAGCTGACAGCTGGCACCACAAAGCATTGCATGGGCAGTTCCTTGACAGAATTGAAGGGAAATTTGATAAGAAGAATATCTGGTTATGGCTCACGAATTTGTGCGCCATCACCAGGTCTTCTCCTAATCAATTTCATCTATTATTATTATTATTATTATTATTATTATTATTATTATTATTATTATTATTTAGGGCTTTATACATCTCTCTAGCATCTTGATTTGTGATTATTATTATTTTCTTATAGGGCTTCTTAGGACACATTATTATTATTATTATTATTATTATTATTATTATTATTAGCCATTTCCTGTCACACGTTGCTGTGGCCCAGTCTGTGTATTACATTTTTATTTATATAGATGATGATGATGATTTAGGGCTTTATACTTCTCTTCGGCATCTTGATTTGTGATTATTATTATTTTCTTATAGGGCTTCATAGGACACCTTATTATTATTATTATTATTATTATTATTATTATTATTATGGCTTTATACATCTCTTCAGCATCTTGATTTGTGATTATTATTTTCTTATAGGGCTTCATAGGACACCTTATTATTATTATTCTTATCATTACTATTACTACTAGCCATCCCCTGCCACGCGTTGCTGTGGCCCAATCTGTGTATATGTGTTCTCTCTGGGTATATATGTGTATATGTATGTGTATATATTTGTGTATTTGTGCATATATGTATGTTTGTGTATATATTGGTTTTGCGCATATGTTATAATGTATTTTTGGTGGGGTTTTTTTTTTTTTTTTGCTTTTTAAGTCTCTTCTGCTGTGTTTTTCAGTGTTTTTATGAGTGATGGTCACTTGTTGGCCTGATGGATGTATTRTGTCCAAATTTTGTGTCAATTCGTCCAGTGGTTTTGAGTTGTGTTAATCCCACAAATGAACATTACATTTTTATTTATATAGATGATGATGATGATGATGATGATTATTATTATTATTTAGGGCTTTCTACATCTCTCCAGCATCTTGATTTGTGATTATTATTATTTCCTTATAGGGCTTCGTAAGACACATTATTATTATTATTATTATTATTATTATTATTATTATCATCATCATTGTTATTACTTAGGGCTTTATACATCTCTCCAGCATCTTGATTTGTGACTATTATTATTTTCTTATAGGGCTTCACAGGACACATTATTATTATTATTATTATTATTATTATTATTATATTGTTGTTGTTGTTGTTGTTGTTGTTGAAGGCTTTCATGGCCAGAATCACTGGGTTGTTGTAGGTTTTTCTGGGCTATATGGCTATATTCTAGAGGCATTTTCTCCTGACGTTTTGCCCGCATCTCTGGCAAGTATCCTCAGAGGTAGTGAGGTCTATTGGAACTAGGAAAATGGGTTTATATATAAGAATTAGAGGCAGAATCATAGAATTATAGAGTTGGAAGACACTTCATGGGCCATCCAGTCCAACCCCATTCTGCCAAGAAGCAGGAAAATTGCAAAGCACCCCTGACAGATGGCCATCCAGCCTCTGTTTAAAAGCCTCCAAAGAAGGAGCCTCCACTACATTCTGTAGCAGAGAGTTCCACTGCTGAACAGCTCTCACAGTCAGGAAGTTCTTCCTCATGTTCACATGGAATCTCCTTTCTTGTAGTTTGAAGCCATTGCTCCGCATCCTAGTCTCCAGGGAAGCAGGAAACAAGCTTGCTCCCTCCTCCCTATGACTTCCCCTCAGATATTTATACATGGCTATAATCATGTCTCCTCTGAGCCTTCTCTTCTTCAGGCTAAACATGCCCAGCTCCTTAAGCCGCTCCTCATAGGGCTTGTTCTCCAGACCCTTGATCATTTGAGTCACCCTCTTTCTCTGGAGACATCCCAGCTTGTCAATATCTCTCTCCAATTGTGGTGCCCAGAATGGGACACAATATTCCAGGTGTGGTCTCACCTGATTGGGAAGAGGCAGGCTCCTGATGGTGGGATCCTCTGCTGGGTTACTAGAGGTCATTCATCCCCAGAGCCTTGCATGCCTTGTACCCAGACAGGAAGGGATTTCTGCAAGGGGGCAACTCCCCCTAGTTTCCCTTCTCCCTGCTTGGCTGACCCCACTCACCTGGGAAGAGAGGAAGGGAAGCCCCCTCCTCTCCCTTCTTGGAGCTGCTCTGCTTCAGAAGCCCAGGCACTGGCAGCACTCAACTCACTCACATGGCAGGAATGCCAATCAACACCCAAGCCCCGCCTCCATCCCAACACACTTCCGCCTTCTCTAGGCACTCCCCACCTCCCTAGTCTCTTTCATCCGGAAGCCCCCCTTTATTACTCAATCCCAGGGACATCAACACTGCACCATTGCACTATGTTCCTGGGTTAGCAATGTCATTCCCTAATTGGTGCTCTCATAAAAGCATGGGGAAAGTTTACTAAATTGCAACAAAAATGTGTTTGCAGGAAAGACTTTGTGCACCACTATAGTTTTCCATTGAATCTCTCAGTCTCAACCAATTGGAGATAGTTTGTGCCACGGTTACACTATGTTCCTGGGTTATCAATGTCATTTCTTAATTGGTGCTATCATAAAAGCATAGGAAAAGTTTATTAAACTGTCTGTGCAGGAGGGATGTTGTGCACCATGTTATTGCAACAACAACAACAATTACACTATGTTCCTGGGTTATCAATGTCATTTCCTAATTGGTGCTATCATAAAAGCATAGGAAAAGTTTATTAAACTGTCTTTGCAGGAGGGATGTTGTGTACCATATTATTGCAACAACAAGATCAACAATGCAGAGCAATGGCTTCAAACTACAAGAAAGGAGCTTCCATCTGAACATGAGGAAGAACTTCCTGACTGTGAGAGCTGTTCAGCAGTGGAACTCTCTGCCCCGGAGTGTGGTGGAGGCTCCTTCTTTGGAAGCTTTTGAAAAGAGGCTGGAGACTCCTTCCTTGGAAGCTTTTAGAATCATAGAACCAAAGAGTTGGAAGAGACATCATGGGACATCCAGTCCAACCCCAATCTGCCAAGAAGCAGGAATATTGCATTCAAATCAGCCCTGACAGATGGCCATCCAGCCTCTGTTTAAAAGCTTCCAAAGAGGCTGTATGGCCATCTGTCAGGGCAGGGTGGAATGCAATATTCCTGCTTCTTGGCAGAGGGGTTGGACTGGATGGCCCAGGAGGCTCTGGTCAAAAGCAACCAGCCAATGTATTGTCGAAGGTTTCATGACCGGAATCACTGGGTTGTTGTAGATTTTTCTGGCTTATATGGCCATGTTCTAGAAGCATTCTCTCCTGACGTTTCGCCTGCATCTATGGCAAGCATCCTCAGAGCTGAGGACGCTTGCCATAGATGCAGGTGAAACGTCAGGAGAGAATGCCTCTAGAACATGGCCATATAGCCCGGAAAAACCTACAACAACCCAACAATAACAACAACAACAACAACAACAACAATAATAAAGTGGACGACAGATCATCACATCCTCAGCTCATTGCTGTGGCTCTCAAATGGGACTTTGAAAAAGGAGACAAAGGAGGGCCTGATTCTGGCAGCCCAAGAACAAGCCATTCGAACCAAGGCCATCCAAGCCAGAATTGAAAAGTCAACGACAGATCCCAAGTGTAGACTCTGCAAGGAAGCAGATGAAACAATAGATCCATCCTCAGCTGCTGCAAGAAGATCGCGCAGACAGACTACAAGCAGAGGCATAACACTGTTGCTCAGATGATTCATTGGAACTTGTGCCACAAATACCATCTGCCTGCGACAAAGAACTGGTGGGATCACAAGCCGGAAAAGTTACAGAGAATGAACACGTCAAACTCCTCTGGGACTTCCGGATTCAGACAGACAGAGTTTTGGAGCACAATACTCCTGACCTCATGATCGTGTTAAAAAACCAAGTATGAATTTCGATGTTGCAATCCCAGGTGACAGCAGGATTGAAGAGAAACAACTGGAAAAGCTGACACGATACGAGGATTTAAAGATCGAACTGCAAAGACTCTGGCACAAACCAGTCAAGGTGGTCCCAGTGGTGATTGGCACACTGGGCGCAGTGCCTGAAGAGCTTGGCCTGCACTTGAGCAACTGTGTTGTGCCTCTGCTTGTAGTCTGTCTACGTGATCTTCTTGCAGCAGCTGAGGATGGGAACTATTGTTTCTTCTGCTTCCTTGCAGAGTCTACACTTGTGATCTGTTGTTGACTTTTCAATTCTGGCTCTGATGGCCTTGGTTCGAATGGCTTGTTCTTGGGCTGCCAGAATCAGGCCCTCTTTGTCTCCTTTTTCAAAGTCCCATTTGTGAGCCACAGCCATGTTTTTTTTGGTGCAGAAAACAAAGTTTGTGTTTGCTGAACTACCAGGAAGCGACGGTGTCACTCTCTTAGACATGTGGACCATTCTGGATTATAATATAATCAAAGATGGTGGGCAATAATGGTTATTTAAAAGGCTGTGTGTATTGTCGAAAAAATGAAGTAAAAATTCCAAATATGGACCTTCCTAGAAGCACATTTTTCACTAGAAAACCCATTCTAAAAGGAAATACTGAGCTATTGTGGCTAACATTAATCTCTCTCGCTATATGTTTGTTGATATATATGTTCGTTGGTTTGATGGAAGATCCAAGTTAAAATCCAAGCAGGGTTCTGGGGCAGACTGGTAGAGGATGATAGGAGTTGTACTCCTATCTGGAGGGCCATGTGTTTGTTGATCTGTTTTTGTTTGTACCACAAAGACACTTCCATGGCTTGATGGATCTACACCAAATGAGGCACACATACCCTTCATTACCCAACTTAAAATACAGGCAGGGTTTTGGAGGGACTGGTAGAGCATGATAGGAGTTGTAGTCCTATCTGGAGGGCCATGTGTTTCTTGATCTGTTTTTCTTTGTACTACAAAGGCACTTCCATGGCTTGATGGATCTGCACCAAATGTGGCACACATACCCTTCATTGCCCAACTTAAAATACGGGCAGGGTTTTGGAGGGACTGGTAGAGGATGACAGGAGTTGTAGTCCTATCTGGAGGGCCATGTGTTTGTTGATCTGTTTTTGTTTGTACTACAAAGGCATTTCCATGGCTTGATGGATCTGCACCAAATGTGGCACACATACCCTTCAATACCCAACTTAAAATACGGGCAGGGTTTTGGGGGGGGACTAGTAGAGGATGATGGGAGTTGTAGTCTATCCACATCCGAAGAGCTATAGGTATCCCAACCACAATGGATATGGACCAAACTTGGTACACAAACTCTTCAAAACTTAAAATAGTGAAGAGGTCACCTGATAGATGGGACTTGGAGTCCATAAGCTAGAGAACAGGAAAAATGGAAGATGGCTGTCTGAAGGATCCAAAAGGATAGAGATTACGGAGAGAGACTGAGAGGGAAAAGAGGAGGCACCACGAACTGTCCAAAAACTAATCTTTAGTGCATTTAAAAGTATGACTACACAAACTATTTTCAAAAATTACACTTCAGCCAGTTAGTTATATGTCACAATATATGCCAGGCCTGGGCCAACTTTGGCCTGCTCTCCAGGTGTTTTGGACTTCAACTCCCACAATTCCTAACAGCCTACCGGCTGTTAGGAATTGTGGGAGTTGAAGTCCAAAACACCTGGAGAGCAGGCCAAAGTTGGCCCATATCTAATGTATAGGGGTTCTCTTATGTCCATTTCACAAAACTGTAACGTGTAATGTCCTTAAACATGAGTTCTTTTTCAGTCCCCCGGCATTTCTATGACGACCCTTGGCATGTGCGTCGCTTGGTGCGTTTTGAGGACCGATTTGTGCGTGAAGCCCTTCCCGCACTCCAGGCAAGCGTAGGGCCGCTCTCCCGTGTGGTTCATTTGGTGCGTCGTGAGGCCCCTTTTGTCGATGAAGCCCTTCCCGCACCCCAAGCATTGGTAGGGCTTCTCTCCCGTGTGGATACGCTGGTGCCGGTCGAGGTGAGACTGCCAGTGGAAGGACTTCCCGCACTCGGGGCACTTGTGAGGCTTCTCCGAGGTGTGGACGACCTGGTGGGTCTTGAAGGACTTGTAGCTGAAGCTCTTCCCACACTCCAGGCACTGGTAGGGCTTCTCCCCCATGTGGTTCAGCTGGTGGGCCTTGAGATATCGCCGCTGGTTGAAGCGCTTCCCGCACTCCAGGCAGGCGTACGGCTTCTCTCCCGTGTGGATCAGCTCGTGCCTGTTGAGGTGCGGCCTCGAGTGGAAGCTCTTCCCACACTCCAGGCACTTGTAGGGCTTCTCCAAGGTGTGGACCACCTTGTGGGTCTTGAAGGACGACTTGTAGCTGAAGCCCATGCCGCACTCCTGGCATTTGTAGGGCTTCTCCCCTTTCTGGTTCATCTCGTACTCGGTGAGGATGGCCTTCGCAGTCAAGGTCCTCCCTGTTTCCTGGCACGTATAGACCTTCTCCCCCGTAGGACTTTCCTCAGGGTGTACGTTCCACTTGAAGCTCTCTCTCCACGGCGGACGCTCATCCGGCTTTTCCTCCGTGTCGTTCGTGATACCAATGTTCAGGCCAGAAGTCCAATGGAGGCCATTCTCGGAAATAAGACACTTGCTGTTCTCTTCACTTTCATCTGTTGCATCTTGCATTGCAATTTCACAGGTGTCAACACAGTGAGAAGCAGGCAATGGGTTCCCCTTCTGTTCCTCTTTTGCTTCTGTTCCTGAACTTCTGTCTTCCTCTTGTGAACGTCCGGCCCTTTCCAGCTGCACTCTGCATGGAGATTCTTCATTCTCAGTCTCCCAACTATTATGACCTGGAGGGGAGAGAAAACCATATTATTGTTATTGATATTATTATTAGCATTATCACCTGCTTAAATATTATGAAGAACTAGTATGATTTTTTTTACTATCATTATCATCACCACCATCACCATCAACCTAAACATTATGAAGAACGTGTTGAACTCTGGCCTGGAATCACCTTTGCATCCAACAACACAAGAACCCAGTATTTATTATTATTTATTTATTTGAAGTAATCATTTGAATGCTCTCAAAAAAATCCAAGGAGAAGAAAGCTTTCAGCTTCGAAGCAGTGCATTTGGATCGCCCTCCTCTCCTAAAGGGCCTAGTCTAGGGGATGCTGGGAGCTGTAGTCCGGAAGAGAGTATGGATAGGCTATTGTGTGTTTTGTTTGCCAAGGGAATCATTTTTGCACATGCGTTGCAGCGCCTTTTTGCTGTCTTTGGCTTTTTAAGTCCCTTCCGCTATGTTTTTCAGTGTTTGTATGAGTGATGGTCACTCGTTGGCCTGATAGGTGTATTGTGTGCAAATTTCATGTCAATTCATCCAGTGGTTTTTGAGTTCTGTTAATCCCACAAACGAACATTACATTTTAATTTATATAGACTGCTGCAGCTCAATTCTAGACTGGATTACTGCAATGCACTCTACGTGGGGCTGCCCTTGAAAACGGCCTGGAAATTTCAGATGATCCAACGGGTGGCAGCCAGGTTGTTAACTGAGGCTCCTTATAGGGAGCGGTCAACCCTTCTGTTCAGGGACTTCACTGGCTGCCATTCATCTACTGGACCCAATTCAAGGTGCAGGTTCTTACCTACAAAGCCCTGAACGGTTTTGGACCTGCCTACCTGCGTGACCATATCTCCACATATGAACCCACACGATCCCTTCGATCATCCGGAGAGGCCCTGCTCTCGATCCCACCAGCATCGCAGGCGCGATTGGTGAGGATGAGAGAGAAGGCCTTTTCGGTGGTGGCCCCTCGACTCTGGAATGCACTTTCTAAAGATATCAGACAGGCCCCAACTCTGGCAGTCTTCAGGAGGAGCTTGAAAACGTGGCTGTTCCAGTGTGCCTTCCCGGAATAATGATCTCATAGCACTTTGTCCTCCAAAGCACTTTACATTTCTTTAGGTCTGCTAGTACACCCTTCACAAACACCCTATCTCCTTTCGTCCAGGTCCCAACATTATTTCCAATTTTAACTTTACATTTGGCCTTCCCACTGTTTTTAATTGTGTGTTGTCTTAGTGATAATGTTGTATATTTTATTGCTTATGTTTTTTTTTATTTTTAACTGCTTGTATTGTTGTTTATTGTCTGTATTGTTGTATTTGGGCTCGGCCTCACATAAACCGCACTGAGTCCCTTGGGGAGATGGTAGCGGGGTACAAATAAACTGTTATTATAATATTATTATTGTGATTTATATAACAGTACCTACACTTGGAAAGCATTGGCGATCCACTTCGGTAGGGATTAAACCTCTTTGGAAGTTCTTAAATAGAGGCTGGATGGCCATCTGTCAGGGGTGCTTTGAATGCAATTTTCCTGCTTCTTGGCCGAATGGGGTTGGACTGGATGGCCCACGAGGTCTCTTCCAACTCTAGGATTCTATGATTCTATCATTCTAGGGGCTTAGAGGTGACCTAGGAAGCCCCACAAGACAAGAGTTATGTTTTGAGTTAAGTTAATCCCACAAACGAACATTACATTTTATTTATATAAACACATCACATATTACACAGAGACATAGCCATTGCCCGCAACAGTCCCGGGTCATTGAACTTTCAACTTTAACTTTAAATATTTGTATGATGGGCCCAATGCTTGGTTCCACAGCCAGACCTTTAGCTGTCTCCTAAAGGTCAGAAGGGTGGGGCCAACCTGATCTCACTGGGGAGGGATTTCCACAGCCATGGGGCCACCACCGAGAAGGCCCTGTCCCTCATCCTCACTAGCCACACCTGTGATGCTGGTGGGGCCAAGAGCAGGACCTCTCGGGAAGATCTTAATCTACGAGCTGGTTCATAGAGGGAGATATATTTGGACAGGTAAGTTGGACCAGAACTTGTGCTCTGTAGCGAATAGGCATCTTCCTGGGATTCATTGTTCAAAAGATGATTCCAGTAAGAAAGGAAAGGCGTGGTATCCAAATAAAGTCTCTTGGACACATAAGGAGCTGCCACATGAGTGAGATCCTTACCTAGAGCGGCCACCGCCTCGTAATTCTCCTCCATGACTTCCTTATGGAGGGCCCTTTGCTCCGGACCCAGGAGGGCCCACTCCTCCTCAGCAAAACACACGAAGACGTCTTCGAAAGTCACCTGCAAGAAGACAAGGCATTCTGTTCTTCACAACCCTCACTTTTAGGCAGAAACCCCATGTAGTTTTAAGCTAACCAAAGGAAAGTTCAAAGAGACGGTTTAGACCAGAGCTCTTAAAACTTTGTAAACAAAGGGCCGATCAAAAAGGCTCTCTCTCTCATCCGCACTGCTTGTGAAGGTGGTGGGAGCGAAAGGAAGATCTTACGGTTCACGCCGGTTCGTAGAGCAGTGTTTCTCAACCTGGGGGTCGGGACCACTGTGGGGGTCGTGAGGGGGTGTCAGAGGGGTTGCCAAAGACCATCAGAAAACATAGTATTTTCTGTTGGTCATGGGGGTTCTGTGTGGGAAGTTTGGTCCAATTCTATCATTGGTGAGGTTCAGAATGCTATTTCATTGTGGGTGAACTATAAATCCCAGCAACTACAACTCCCAAATGCTGAGGTCTATTTTCCCCAAACTCCACCAGTGTTCACATTTGGGGATATTGAGTATTTGTGCCAAGTTTAGTCCAGATCCATCATTGTTTGAGTCCACAGTGCTCTCTGGATGTAGGTGAACTACAACTCCAAAAATTCAAGGTCAATGTCCACCAGACCCTTCCAGTATTTCCTCTTGGTCATGGGAGTTCTGTGTGCCAAGTTTGGTTCAATTCCATTGTTGTGAACTTCAGAATACTCTTTGATTGTAGGTGAACTATAAATCCCAGCAACTACAACTCCCAAATGACAAAATCAATCCCCCAACCCCACCAGTATTCAAATTTGTGGGCATAATGGGTATTTGTGCCAAATTTGGTCCAGTGAATGAAAATACATCCTGCATATCAGATATTTACATTACGATTCATAACAGTAGCAACAGTAGCAAAATATGAAGTAGCAACGAAAAAATGTTATGGTTGGGGGTCACCACAACATGAGGAACTATACTAAGGGGTCGCGGCATTAGGAAGGTTGAGAACCACTGTCGTAAAGGGAGATGCAATTGCGAAGACAGGTGGGGCCCAAACTGTTTAGGGCTTTATAGGTCATTACCTGCACCTTGAATTTGGCTCGGCAACTTATTGGCAGCCAGTGAAGCTGTTTTAAAAGGCGTGCTGTATGCTCCCTATAGTTTGCTCCAGTAAGGAGCCTGGCTGCTCAGACCCATGGCCTTTGACCTGTGGGGTCCTGCAAAGTTCCATTCTATCCCCCATGCTTTTTAATATCTACATGAAACCGCTGGGTGAAGTCATCCAGAGTTTTGGAGTTGGGTGCCATCTGTATGCAGATGACGCCCAGCTCTACTACTACTGGGCACCACAATTCAAGAGAGATATTGACAAGCTGGAATGTGTCCAGAGGAGGACGACTAAAATGATCAAGGGTCTGGAGAACAAGCCCTATGAGGAGCGGCTTAAGGAGCTGGGCATGTTTAGCCTGAAGAAGAGAAGGCTGAGAGGAGATATGATAGCCATGTATAAATATGTGAGAGGAAGCCATGGGGAGGAGGGAGCAAGCTTGTTTTCTCCTTCCCTGGAGACTAGGACGCGGAACAATGGCTTCAAACTACAAGAAGGAGATTCCACTGAACATTAGGAAGAACTTCCTGACTGTGAGAGCTGTTCAGCAGTGGAACTCCCTGCCACGAAGTGTGGTGGAGGCTCCTTCTTGGAAGCTTTTAAACAGAGGCTGGATGGCCATCTGTCAGGGGTGCTTTGAATGCAATATTCCTGCTTCTTGGCAGGGTATTGGACTGGATGGCCCATGAGGTCTCTTCCAACTCTTTGATTCTATGATTCTATGATTCCAGACTCTGAACCAGTGTCTGACTGCTGTGATGGACTGGATGAGGGCTAACAGGTTGAAGCTTAATCCAGACAAGACAGAGGTCCTCTTGGTGAGTCGTGGGGCTGATCGGGGTATGGGATGGCAATCTGTGCTCGATGAGGTTACATTCCCCCTGAGGGCACAGGTCCGTAGCTTGGGGGTCCTCTTGGATTCAATGCTGTCACTTGATGCTCAGGTGTTGGCCGGGAGGGCCTTTGCACAACTCAAACTTGTGCACCAGCTGCAACCATAGCTTCCGAGCTGGTGTTAACCTATAAAGCCCTAAACGACTCCGGCCCAGTTTACCTGTCCGAACGTATTCTCCCCTATGAACCATCTAGGTTGTTAAGATCGTCTGGAGGGGCCCTGCTCTCAGTCCCACTGGCCTCTCAGGCGCGTCTGGTGGGGACGAGGGACAGGGCCTTCTCGGTGGTGGCCCCTCGACTCTGGAACTCTCTCCCACTGGAGATCAGAACTGCCCCCTCCATTCTGTCGTTCAGAAAACGGGTGAAAACCTGGCTATGGGGTTTGGCTTTCGACGAGTGAATCAATATTTCTGTGATCGGATAGATGACGATGAATGACGGACAACGAATTCACTATGACGACTGACCATTGTTATTATGTGATTGCATTTTGCTGTTTAACGTTTTAATTGAATATGTTATATGATGTTTTTAATGATTGTTTTGTGATATTATTGTTGGAAACCGGCCCGAGTCCCCCGATAGAGGGGAGAAGACCGGTATACAAAATTGCTAAATAAATAAATAAATAAATAGTTGTGACATCTGACTTGGCCAGCATGGTCCATGCCTTGATTACATCCAGATCAGACTATTACAATGTGCTCTATGTGGGACTGCCCTTGAAGACGGCCTGGAAGCTCCAATTGGTCCAACGGGCAGCAGTCAGGTTACTAATTGGAGCGACTTACAGGTCTACCCTGTTTGGGGAAACAGGGTTTGGGGAAAATAGAATCTTGATATTTGGGAGTTGTAGTTGCTGGGATTTATAGTTCACCTATAATCACAGAGCATGCTGAACCCCACCAATGATAGAACTGGGCCAAACCTACCACACAGAACCCCCATGTGGGCTACAGCAACGTGTGGCAGGGAACGGCTAGTTTTAAATAAAACTACAAAGACAACTGCTGGTGTGTTCTTTGGTGTCTTAAACAAGGTGGTTCTACTTTGAGGTGCGACAATACTTTGGGAACAAGCAAAGACCACAGTGCACTGCATCCTTCTCGACAGGTGCATTCTTACCTGGTCCAGGTGCCCAGAAGTCATTTCCACTCCATCCAGAAGAAGAGATAGACGACTACAGCTTTCTAGCGTCCTTGGCTCATCCCCTGGGACTGGCAAAGAGACCATAACAATAATAGAGGAGTTTTAATTTGCTTTCCAAACTTCTAAATTCAAGAAGTCCCACGGTGCCATCACAAGAGATTCTCAAAGGAAAAAAGACAAGGAAGGGAAGAAAGGGAAAGTAGGTCTCCTGGCATCTTTGGCACATGAATCTTGAGCTCTGGCTATGTTGTTGTTGTGTGTCTTCAAATGGTTTCTGACCTATGGCAACTCTAAGGTGCACTTACTACTACTCCTGGGTCTTAGTCCTTCAGTGCGACTCCACTGGGCATTGAAGACAGAATCACACTGGAAGACCTAGAAATAACTAGGAAAATATTTTCTGCTGCTGTATGATCACGTTCTAGCAGCATTTTCTCCTGATGTTTCATCTGCATCTGAGGCTGGCATCTGCTGTCTGGAGGACTCCTATCTCTGGGTGGTGTTTATTAGTTACTATCTTGATTCTGATGTTTCTCAATACGAGTAGCCAAATTTTGTTCATTTTCATGCATCCAGATAGGAAGTAATCAAGGGTTAAGAAACACCACCCAGACAAAGGATGTCTCCAGGCAATAAACACGCCAAGGAAACAAAGGCCTGGCTACTTCAAGGAAGATGCCCTCACTATTGACTCTTCTCAGTTACTCACAAGCTCATGGATGGATCCCACTCAAACTCTTGCAAATCAGGCTTGATGTGTTGTCGAAGGCCTCCAGGCAAACAACAGCAGGGCTCCCTCTGTGCAAATACCCCCTCTGATTAACCTTGCAGTTACAAGGCTACTCAATACCAATCAAGCTTGCTAAGGAATCCCACTGGAGCATTGCAGCGCACCCAAATACCTGGGAGTCACTCTGGACTGTGCTCTGATCTACAAGAAGCACTGCCTGAATATCAAGCAAAAAGTGGTCGCTAGAAACAATTACATAGGAAAGCTGACTGGCACAACCTGGGGATCACAACCAGACACAGTGAAGACATCTGCCCTTGTACTTTGCTACTCTGCTGCTGAGTACACATGCCCAGTGTGGAACACATCTTACCATGTTAAAACAGTGGATGTGGCTACAGAAATACTCACAGGAATACCTCAGCAAGCAAGAGTCCAAAAGTGGCAGGCTAAAACTCAGCACCTCAATCAATGGCTGATACCAAATGAGCGACTCCCCCCTGGGCATACAGAAAACTGGGCGACTTGGAAGGCGCTGAATGGACTGCGCTCTGGCACCACGAGATGCAGAGCCAACCTCAAGAAATGGGGCTACAAAGTGGAATCCACGACATGCAAGTGTGGAGAAGAGCAAATCACAGACCACCTACTGCAATGCAACATGCACAATGGAGGACCTTCTTATAGGAACACCAGAGACACTCCAAGTAGCCAACTACTGGTCAAAGGTCATTTAATAGAATTCCAAGTCTGCAAACTTTGTGTTTTGTTTGTTTGCTTGTTTGTTTTTTAATGCAATGCAACTGTCTGGTTCGCTCCTGACATGATAAATACATAATTGCAACATTCACACTTGCCTCAAACAACGGTTCTTTTCCTGACCCTGGACATTCTACCGGTATATATACACTCCACTTGCCTCACTGCCAACGGAACCTCCGGAGATGCCAGCCACAGATGCAGGCAAAACGTCAGGAGCATGCAGGTGGAACATAGCCATACAGCCCAAAAAAGTTGTAGCAACCCAACTGAAGCTTGGTTGTTGTAGATTTTTCCGGGCTATATGGCCATGTTCTGGAGGCATTCTCTCCTGACGTTTCGCCTGCATCTATGGCAAGCATCCTCAAAGGTAGTGAGGTCTGTTGGAACTAGGAAAAAGGGTTTATATATCTGTGGAATGACCAGGGTGGGACAAGGAACAAAAAAGGCCATAAAAAAGACTCCAGCAAAGCACTCCAGCAAAAGCATGCGGGGAATGCGGAAGTACTTCATCAGTGTCGCAGATGGACGATGAAAGCGACAGCTCCCCTGGTGGCCAGAAAAAGTTAAATAGCCTCTGTGTATGTCTGTATACGTTGTATGTCAAATTGGCATTGAATGTTTGCCATATATGTGTACACTGTAATCCGCCCTGAGTCCCCTGCGGGGTGAGAAGGGCGGAATATAAATACTGTAAATAAATAGTCTGCTGGAGCTAGGTGTGAATGTTTCAACTGACCACCTTGAATACCATTTTCCTAGTTCCAACAGACCTCACTACCTCTGAGGATGCTTGCCACAGATGCAGGCGAAACGTCAGGAGAGAGTGCTTCCAGAACATGGCCATATAGCCTGAAAAAACCTACAACAACCCAGTGATTCCGGCCATGAAAGCCTTCGACAATACAATATCTCAAGAGTAAGTATTAAGATTGTCGAAGGCTTTCATGGCCGGAATCACTGGGTTGTTGTAGGTTTTTCCGGGCTATATGGCCATGTTCTAGAGGCATTTTCTCCTGACGTTTCGCCTGCATCTATGGCAAGCATCCTCAGAGGTAGTGAGGTCTGTTGGAAGTAGGAAAATGGGTTTATATATCTGTGGAATGACCAGGGTGGGACAAAGGACTCTTGTCTGCTGGAGCTAGGTGTGAATGTTTCAACTGACCACCTTGATTAGCATTTGATGGCTTGGCAGTGCCTGGGGGAATCTTTTGTTGAGAGGTGATTAGATGTGCCTGATTGTTTACTCTCTGTTGTTTTGCTGTTGTAATTTTTGAGTTTTTTAATACTGGTAGCCAGATTTTGTTCATTTTCATGGTTTCTGGAATCACTAGGTTCTTGTGGGTTTTTTCGGGCTATAGGGCCATGTTCTAGAGGCATTTCTCCTGACGTTTCGCCTGCATCTATGGCAAGCATCCTCAGAGGTAGTGAGGTCTGTTGGAATTAGGACAATGGGTTTATATATCTGTGGAATGGCTGGGGTGGGGCAAAGGGCAGAGCTCTTCTCTGCTGGAGCTAGGTGTGAATGTTTCAACTGACCACTTTCATTAGCATTTGAAGGCCTGGCTGAGCCTGGGAAAATGTTTTGTTGAGAGGTGTTAAGATGTGCCGGTTGTTTCCTCTCTGCTGTTTTGCTGTTGTAATTTTAGAGTTTTTTAATACTGGTAGCCAGATTTTGTTCATTTTCATGGTTTCCTCCTTTCTGTTGAAATTGTCCACATGCTTGTGGATTTCAATGGCTTCTCTGTGTAGTCTGACATGGTGGTTGTTGAGAGTGGTCCAGCATTTCTGTGTTCTCAAATAATATGTCCAGGCTGGTTCATCGGGTGCTCTGCTATGGCTGACACCTCTCAACAAAACATTTTCCCAGGCTCAGCCAGGCCTTCAAATGCGAATGAAGGTGATCAGTTGAAACATTCACACCTAGCTCCAGCAGAGAAGAGCTCTTTTCCCCACCCCAGCCATTCCACAGATATATAAACCCATTGTCCTAATTCCAACAGACCTCACTACCTCTGAGGATGCTTGCCATAGATGCAGGCGAAACGTCAGGAGAAATGCCTCTAGAACATGGCCATATAGCCCGAAAAAACCCACAAGAACCTAGTGATTCCAGCCATGAAAGTTCTTCCTTTCTGTTGAAATTGTCCACATGCTTGTGTTTTTGAACAGACATTGGTTCTTTCTCCCACTCTAGATATTCCACACTCCTCTTGCATTACCACCATCAGATCCTTGAAGATGCCAGTTACAGATGCAGCCGAAATGTCAGGAGAAAATGTGGCTAGAACACATTGGCCATACAGCCCGGAAACTACACAACACCCCTGAGTTTTAGGAGAGCTTTTTCAATCAAGAATCCTCACCTGAAGGAGTGACCTCTGTGTTGTCCTCCTGCTTGATGTCTGGTGGGATCTCCTGGGCCTGAAGGACATCACTGCCTGGCTGCTGCTCCTCCTGCTTCTTTACACTGTCTTCTTTCTGATTGAGGAGGAACCCTTCAGCCAAGGCCACCGCCTGGGGACCGCTTCCCACTCCGCACTTCCAGACCCAGCGCTCCATCTCCGGAGGAAGGATGGCCAGGAATTGCTCCAGAATCACCAGGTCCAGCATCTCCGCCTTGGAGTGTTGGTCTGGCTTCAGCCACTGGCAACAGAGATCATGGAGTCGGGTCCAAATTTTCCGTGGCCCTTCCACCTCCCGGTAGTGGAGCTGCCTGAAGTGTCGTCGATGAAACTCTGAGCTGAGTGCGTCTTTATCCAAGACATCTTGTGTTCCCTTTCCCCATAATCCCTCACTTCCTTCACAATACACGACGTCTGGAACACTTCCTCCCTCTGCGCTGTATGGCTTTAACTCCTCCGCCTTCAGCCTGGGCTCCATAACCAACTCCTTGGCAGACAAAGGGAAGGAGGTCTTCTCTGTCGAATTATTTCATGAAACGCCTGACACAGGAGCCCTGGGTATCAAACAAAACCCAATATTAGAAGCATTCTTGAAGAAACTCACCAAACCTGGGTTGCTTCTGAGTGTTCTCACAGGAGGAAAAGGCAAAAGACCGTGGCAGTGAATATTTATTTGTTTTTATTTATTGTATCAGAAGCCTTCTCTGCTGTGGCTCCCCGACTTTGGAACTCACGACCTCGTGAGATTAGGCAAGCGCCCCACCTTAGCAGCCTTCAAGAAAAATTTGAAAACTTGGCTCTTCCAATGTGTCTTTGGAGAGTGACCATTTATCCCATTTCTGCTTGCTCTATCTACAGTGTTTCTCAACCTGGGGGTCGGGACCCCTGGAGGGGTCGCAAGGGGGTATCAGAGGGGTCGCCAAAGACCATCAGGAAACACAGTATTTTTCTGTTGCTCATGGGGGTTACATGTGGGAAGTTTGGCCCAATTCTATCGTTGGTGGAGTTCAGTTTGCTCTTTGATTGTAGGTGAACTATAAATCCCAGCAACCACAACTCCCAAATGTCAAGGTTTATTTTCCTAAACTCCACCAGTGTTCACATATGGGCATATTGAGTTTTCATGCCAAGTTTGGTCCAGATCCATAACTGTTTGAGTCCACAATGCTCTCTGGATGTAGCTGAACTACAACTCCAAAACTCAAGGTCAATGCACACCAAACCCTTCCAGTATTTTCTGTTGGTATTTGGGAGCTATGTGTGCCAAGATTGGTTCAATTCCATTGTTGGTTGAGTTCATAATGCTCTTTGATTGTAGGTGAACTATAAATCCCAGCAACTACAACTCCCAAATGACAAAATTCCACCCCCACCCTACCATTATTCAAATTTGGGCATATTGGGTATTTGTGCCAAATTTAGTCCAGAGAATGAAAACACATCCTGCATATCAGATACTTACATTATGATTCATAACAGTATTACAGTTATTAAAGTAGTAACGAAAATATTTTATAGTTGGGGGTCACCAGAACATGAGGAACGGTATTAAGGGGTCGCGGCATTAGGAAGGTTGAGAAACACTGATCTACAGTGTTGCCCCCATGATGCCTTTCCCCCCATCCTAAACTGAAAGCATAACCCCACTGTTCATGCTTTTGGGGCTCCCCTCAATTACATATTTTCTTCCCTACCTCACCCAGGGTTTTATTATTTTACCTCGTCCATTTGGCCTGCGCATTTTGTTCAATTTTATAATGTGTTAATTTGTTTTATTTTGCTACTATCATCATCATCATTTTATTACTTATTAATCACTCTCCATCCAAGATGCTCTAGGCGATTTACAAGCTAAATTGTAAAGGATAAAAAGATCTTCTGGAGGGGCCCTGCTCTCGGTCCCACCACCCTCACAATCGCGTCTGGTGGGGACGAGGGACAGGGCCTTCTCGGTGGTGGCCCCTCGGCTCTGGAACTCTCTCCCGCTGGAGATTAGATCTGCCCCTTCCCTCCTGACTTTCAGAAAGCTGGTAAAATCTTGGCTTTGGAATATAGCATTTGCAGAATGATGATCGAGTCAATAACTGCTGACCACACCGGCGGATGGTGATGAATTCGTGATTTTACTTTGACGACCTGGCTTTTGTAATTGTATGATCTGTATTTTAATGTATTTTATGTATTAATGTATTACGATGCTATAATGTTTATCCTACTTGTGTATGAATTTCCTGCTGTTAGCCGGCCTGAGTCCCTCTTCAGAGGTCGAGAAGACCGGGTTATAAAAACTCTAAATAAATAAATAAAATAAATACATACAGATATTGATAAAATATGTATTTTATTCTGAGGTATTTTTGTTGTTGTCTGCATTCTGTATTTTATCTTGCTGTAATATATCTTTGGGCTTGGCCTCATGTTAGCCACCCCAAGTCCCCTTTGGGGAGATGGTGGCGGGGTATAAATAAAATTTATCATCATCATCATCATCATTATTTGAAACACAACAAGATGAGTCCACAGCAGACACTCTGCTGGCTGTTTAATTGGATCACACGTCAGACACTTCCCAAGTATCTAGGACTGTGTGATGTATCAGTGAATAATGCATACAGATCCCAGTAAGGTGGCAGATTGTAATTTTGTCACCGCCAATTGTTTTTAAGTGCAGGCCAAAGTCTTGAGGCACTGCACCTAGTGTGCCGATCACCACTGGGACCACCTCTACTGTTTTGTGCCAGAGTCTCTGCAGTTTTATCTTTAAATCCTATTATTATTATTATTATTATTATTATTATTATTATTATTATTATTGCTCTGCATCCTAGTCTCCAGGGCAGCAGAAAACAAGTTTGCTCCCTCCTCCCTATTGACTTCCCTTTACATATTTATACACAGCTCTCACCCTTTTTATTTATTTATTTATTTCGGTTGCTTCTACCCCGCCCTTCTCACCCCGGAGGGGACTCAGGGCGGCTTACAAAAGCAAGGCACAATTCGATGCCCGCATCACATAACAGCAATAAGACAAATAACATCAGTTAACAGAAAACAGCAATTCTAGCAATAACATAAATTAACAGAAAACAATAATTATTGTAAGGCAAAAACAACCATAAAACCAATAAAAGCAATAAAACCAATACAAATCATTTCTCCTCATTGACGGTCAGCGTTTCGCAATCTCATAGTTCAAATTCCAATTCCACAATTGTCAGTCCTTTCAGTCCTATTCATCTGGTTGTCCATATCTAGTTGTCAGATTGCCCAAAGGCCTGGTCCCATAGCCACGTCTTTACCTTCCTCCTGAAGGAGAGGAGGGATGTTGATGCCCTAATTTCCCCCGGGAGTGAGTTCCACAGGTGAGGGGCCACCACTGAGAAGGCCCTGCTCCTCGTCCCCACCAACCTCACTTGTGATAGCGGTGGGGTCGAGAGCAGGGCCTCCCCAGATGATCTCAAATTCCGGAGTGGGACGCAGAGGGAGATACGTTCAGACAGATACACTGGACCAGAACCGTAAAGGGTTTTGAAGGTCAAAACCAGCACTTTGAATTGTGCTCGGGAAGTGAACCGGCAGCCAGTGGAGCTGACACAACCGGGGGGTGGTGTGCTCCCTGTATGTCGCTCCGGTGAGCAATCTGGCTGCTGCTCGCTGGACCAGTTGAAGTTTCCGAACAGTCTTCAAGGGCAACCCCACATAGTGTGTGTTGTAGTAGTCTATTCGGGATGTAACAAGAGTGTGGACCACCGTGGCCAAGATCAAACTTCCCAAGGTACGGGCGCAGCTGGCGCACAAGTTTAGTTGCGCAAAAACTGGCACTACCGAACCTGGGGTTCCAGGCTCAGCGATGAGTCCAGGATCACTCCCAAGCTGCGACCTGCGTCTTCAGGGGGAGTGTAACCCCGTCCAGCACAGGCTGTAACCCTATGCCCTGTTCGGCCTTACGATTGACCAGTAGGACCTCTGTCTTGTCTGGATTCAATTTCAATTTGTTAGCTCTCATCCAGTCCGACACAGCAGCCAAGCACCGGTTCAAAGTTCCGACAGCCTCCTTGGTAACAGGTGGGAAGGAGTGACAGATTTGGACATCATCCGCATAGAGATAACACCTCATTCAGAAACTCCGGATGATCTCTCCCAGCGGCTTCATGTATATGTTAAACAACATAGGGGACAGAATTGAACCCTGCGGGACTCCACACAACAATGGTTGTGGGGTCGAACAGGTGTCACCCAATAACACCTTCTGGGACCGTCCCTCAAGAAAGGACTGGAGCCATTGCAAAGCAGTTCCCCCAAGTCCCATATCTATGAGGCGTTCCAGAAGGATACCGTGGTTGATGGTATCAAAGGCCGCTGAGAGGTCCAGCAGAACCAACAGGGACACACTCCTCCTGTCCAGCTCCCGGCGAAGATCATCTACCAAGGCGACCAAGGCTGTTTCCGTTCCATGTCCCGGTCTAAAGCCAGACTGTGCCGGATCTAGATAATCAGTGTCTACCAGAAATCCCTGGAGTTGTGTTGCCACCACACGTTCCATGACTTTGCCCAAATAGGGGAGATTGGAAACTGGCCGATAGTTGTCTAATTAAGTGGGGTCCAGTGATGGTTTTTTCAACAGCGGTTTTATAATAGCTTGTTTTAAGCTCGCTGGAATCTTGCCTTCCTGCAAGGAGGCATTAACCACCACCTTCACCCACTCTGCCAAACCCCCTCTGCCAAGCCTTCTCTCCTTCAGGCTAAACATGCCCAGCTCTTTCAGCCGCTCCCCATAGGGCTTGTTCTCCAGACCCTTGATCATTTTAGTCACCCTCCTCTGGACACATTCCAGCTTGTCAACATCTCTCTTCAATTACTGTGGGATAGATCTGATATCCATATCTCCCAGTTCAGCCCCTTCTGTCATGCAAGAGGACACCATCCAATCCCTCCCTGCAGATGGCCATCCTGCCTGAGTTCACAAGGAGGGGGCCATTGGGGTAATACACTGGGGGGACTCACCAGATTCTTCTCCCCTTGGAAGTAGACAAGGACCCAGCCCTATTCCTCTTCCTAGTCCTTCTTTACTCTGGATGCTTCCTCCCTTGAAGCCACCTGGGCTCCTCCTTCCCCAGGAAGGGTGTCAGGAAGGGGGCGGAGCCTCCCACCAGGAAGTGCTGCTGCTTTACCCGCCCCTCTAGGATTCCCTAGTCCTCCAATTCTTGTCTCCTCTCCTTGGAGGAATCCCAGACAGCTGTGATAACATAAGGATCATGCCATGAGATAGGAGGAGAATTAGGAAGGGAATTAGGACAAGAGTGAAACAGGACAGAATAAAATAGAGAGAAATTATAGGACAGAATAGAATATAAAATAGGATGGTAAGACAGACCACAAAAGAATAAAATATAAAATAGGATAAAATTATGATAGATATGATAGAATAAAATATAAAACAGGATAAAATAGGACAAAGTTATAGGATATAATAAAACAAAATGTGATATAATATAGAATAGGGTATGATATAGGATAAAATGGG